CCCGCATCGGGCTCCCTGCTCAGTGCAGAGCCTGCTTCTCCCTCTCCCTCTGCCACTCCCTCTGCTTGTGCTCTTCTGTCTATCTCTCTGTCAAATAAATAAATAAAAATCTTTAAAAAAAAAAAAAAGTAGAACCAAAGAAGGTTCAAATCTTCACAGTCTTTCCCTCATAACTTATTACAATCTGAGAATACTCCCTGAGGCAGGTGGAGGCGATTCATCATTTCCTTTCTGGCCACACAGGGCACCTGGTCCTCCTCAGCACTGAAGAGGAGCGGGCTGAGAGGAGGGGCAGGCACCCCCTCCAGTGCAGCTCCTCCCCAGGCAGGGCCTCCACTGCTACTCACATGGCAGAAGATCATGGCCTGAGCAATGGTGATGGCCCCGTAGAGGTTACACAAGGCCTGGAACTTCTCATCTCTGTTATTGCACAGGACATAATACTGCTTGATGGTGTCCAATGTCTCCTCCTCGCGCTTCAGTTTGATAATGTTTGGGTCTGGGACCACTTTCTGGGCAAACTTCCATACGGAGTCTTCAAAGGTGGCAGAGAAAAGCAGCATCTGGCAGTTCCGGGGCAGCATCCTGCAAGGGAAGACCCAGGTATGTGGCATGATCCCGAGTCTTTCCCTGGAAGGAACAGAAGAAAGCCGCCCCGGCTTGCATGGTCTACATGCCGAGGAAAGTGGCAAAGGGGGAGGAGAACAGCAGGGAGGAGGTGAGAGCAGCCATGGGGCAGGAATGGGGCTGGTGTTAGATTCCCTAAGTCTCCTTCCTCAACCCATGGTCAGTGCTGATGAGGAAATGGCCCATCGAACAAATGCTTCTGGAAGTACTAAAGTAAAGAACCTGACGGGAGCAAGAAGAAGTGTTTGAAGTAAAAGGAGAAGATGCTGCAGATCAGGAGGCTGAGAAGTTCCTCTTGGCTCAAGAGTTCCTACCTCTGGATGCGGATGCTCTGATCTTGGTGCCCCTGAGTAGCTATCATCACGTCAGCCTCATCCAGAACAAACACCTTGATCTTCTTGGGGTCAATGAACTTGAGCTTGGCGCACCAGTCCAGAACAGTCCCAGGGGTGCCAATGACAATGTGCTCACTGATCTTCTGACCTCTTTCCACTGTGGAGACAAGAGGTTTTCTGTGGGTATTTCCATGGTAAAGCCAGCTTTCCTCTCTGAGAAAATCTAAAGCTATGATGTATTTTAATGCAACTGTTTTGATGTTTGCATTAATATCTTAAGGAAAGGTTATAATATCATTATAGTATTTAATAATGCTGAAAACACATCGTAAGGATAGAAACAGTGACAAGATGAAAGCCTCTTCAGTAGTGTTCTTGTCCATTCTCTGTAGTCATCCAGTTCTCTTTCAAGGAGGATCTTTTATCTTTCTTTCTTCTCTGTCAGCATCATTCCCCCAGCCCGAGGTTGCACTTCCTCACAAGCTCTCTCCAGTGCACTCTGCCCCTCAACTATCCTGGCATCTACATCAAACAAGCCGGTTGCCTTTACACACCCCTTGCCCAGGTCAGAAAATAGGATTCATCATGAATGGCTTTGCTTTCTCAAACACAAACTGCTTCTCTTAGGTAAAGTGCTTCCCCAGACAAGACCTGGTGGACTATGGCACATTCTTGACCGTGTGCGGTTTGAAACTGAGATGTGGCTCTTCATTTTGAATTAGATGGCATTTATAGATTGAATTTAAGTCCTTTAATTACAACCTTGAGCTGACATACACAAACTCCTTCTAACCACTGCCAAAATTTTGCCCAAATGTGAATGTTGAGTCAATTCAAAGCCAATAAATGCTGCCTCTTACTTCTGTTAAACAAACCAATTACTGCCTCCCACAACAGTTACTCAGACTCTGGCATTCTAACTTCGACCCAAACTGCAGAATTTTAAATGTATTATGATCATCTTCCACTAAGTTTTATAATCGTACTACTTTTTAGAAGCAACTTCAAGTTGGTATTAGGATATTGTATGCTGAGTGGATTTCTATGAGTCATAGTTACACGTGTTAAAGATTCATGGCCAAACTTTCAACACTTTTTAAATTACTTAAATATTGTTAATTTGTTGCAAAACAAAAGTAGGAAAGATGAATAAAGAAAAAATAATAAAAATAAGCTCCAAACAAAAAACAAGACTCTTAAATACAGAGAATAAACTTGTTTGCCAGAGGGGAGGTAGGTGGCAGTTGGGTGAAATAGATACAGGGGATCCTTTACATTTATTACACTTATTTTGATGAGAACTGAGAAAAATACAGAATTGCTGTATCATTATATAGCTGAAACTAATAAAACACTGTTAATTATAACTCAATTAAAAAAATTAAATGCCAGGGCGCCTGGGTGGCTCAGTCAGTTGAGTGACTGCCTTCAGCTCGGGTCATGATCCTAGAGTCCCGGGATCGAGTCCCACATCGGGCTCCCTGCTCAGCGGGGAGTCTGCTTCTCCCTCTGACGCTCCCCCCTCTCATGGGTCTCTCTCTCTCTCTCAAATAAATAAAATCTTAAAAAAAAAAAAATTAAATGCCAGAGTTAATTGTCATGAATATTCTAGAACATTTTTGTTCTTCTAATATCATTAAAAAGAAATCAGGCAATTAAACGAATCCAGAATGTGCAGCATTTTATGAGCAACTGGTCTGGCCTGTTCAAAAAGTCAGATGTACTGAGGGGAGGCGGAGGTGGAGGGACTATTCTAGATTTAAAGAAATGTAAGATAAACAACACCAAATGCAGTGCATCCACACCAATTTGATCTTGGTTCAAAAACAAAATCGCCATAAAGACTATGGGACTTTTAGGACTATCGGGGAAAAATAAAAATGGACCAGATACTAGTTATTAGAGAATCTGCTAATTGTCTTGGTTGTGATAAGGGTTTTGTGGGTATGCTGAAGAACGTCCTATTATGAGATGCATGCTAAAGTATTTATTTTTAAAAAAATTTTTTTTAAAGATTTCTTTAAGGGACACCTTGGTGGCTCAGTGGGTTAAGCATCTGCCCTCAGCTCAGGTCATGATCCCAGGGTCCTGGAATTGAGTCCCACATTGGGCTCCTTGCTCAGCAGGGAGCCTGTTTCTCCCTCTGCCTGCCGCTCCCCCTGCTTGTGCTCTCTTTCTGACAAATGAATGAATGAATGGAATCTTAAAAAAAAAAAAAAGAATTTTAAGTAGGCTCCACTCCCATTGTGGAGCACCATGTGGGGCTTGAACTCACGACCCTGAAATCAAGACCTGAGCTGAAATCAAGAGTCAGCTGCTTAACTGACTGGTAGCCATCCAGGTGCCCCAAGATTTTATTTCCAAGTAATCTCTACACCCAATGTGGGGCTTAAACTCACAACTCTGAAATCAAGAGTCACATGCTCTCCTGACTGAGCCAGCCAGGTGCCCCCATGCTAAAGTATTTAGGAGTAAAGATCCACAGTGTCTGCAATTTACTTTCAAATGGTTCCCCAAAAACACACACACACATATAGAGCAAATTTGGCAAAATGTTAAATTTTCAAATCTAGGTGAAACGTTCATTTTTATTTCAACTACTGTATATGTTTTGAAATTTTTAAAATAGAAGTTGTTAGGTTAATGAATTAGGATCATATATTCATACTCACATTTATTGCCTCGGACAGCATAAGCTAGCTTCAGTTCAGGGTAAAATTTGCCCATCTGCTCAATCACTTTTCCTGTTTGAAGGGCGAGCTCATAAGTTGGGGAGAGGCACAGACACTGGCAGGGAGAGAGTGCAGAGTGAGATGTCAAGGGCAGTGGGGAATCACCATCAGGACTTACTCCTCCAGCTAAGGCTGAAGAAGAGCATGTAAATTAAAGTGCACGCCATTTGATTCTTTAAGCTGCAAAGTCATAAGTTAGAATTCGTAAGGGTTAGAACTCTGGCTGGGTAAATACACTTGAAAATAGCTATTGGCCACAGGAATATAAAAACCCACATGAGAGCAAGGATCTGAAATTCCAGGTGGAGATTAGCTTCCTTTTCACTTACTCAGAAAGTTCTCAGAACTTTCCAAAGGATGATAGTTGTAGATGGAAGAGGTTTTTTCTTTCTTTTTTTTTTTTTTTAAGATTTTATTTATTTATTTGACAGAGAGGGAACACAAGCAGGGGGAGTGGGAGAGGGAGAAGCAGGCTCTCCGCTGAGCAGGGAGCCCAACGCAGGGCTCGATCCCAGAACCCTGGGATCATGACCCAAGCTGAAGGCAGATGCTTAATGACTGAGCCACCCAGGCGCCCTAGAAGAGTTTTTCTGAAAGTAAAGGTGCCAAGCCTGTCAGCAGTATCTCAGAACTGGCAAACCATGGAAAGGGAATAGGATGCATGTTGCTACTGGAAGATCAACCATATTGTTTGTGCTAGACAAGGTGTTCTGGTTTATGTAAAAAGTAATATGCATCTTGGCTTTCAGTCCATCAAATGTAATTTCTAGCTACACATTAGCAGAAAATCCAAATTTACCAAGCCCTTACCTGGGGGTATCTGTTTGCAGGTTCTACTTGGCTGAGCATGGCCAACACAAAGGCAGCTGTTTTACCAGTGCCAGACTGAGACTGGGCAATTAAATTCTGTGGGCTGCACAAGAAAACAAACTGTTTAAGGGCTTAAATCTCAAGTATCCTTTTAGTTAATAACAATGAAGAATAAATTAGTTTACGGAAGGAGGCTTTGATTTCTGCAGTAGTTACACTTGCTTGCCCCACAAACACAAAGCACCACAGAGAGAAGACTGGTGGGATTTAAAGCACTCCATATCTTTTATTCTCGACACGGCAGCCAGTGATTCTTTTAAAATGTGAGTCAGCACATGTCACTGCTCTGCTCAAAAGCCTTCCAGTCACTCCCCATTTCATTCAGAGTAAAAGTAAAAATCCTGCGTTACAGGGTCCCACCTGATCTGGCTCCCTAGTAGTTCTCTGTTCTCAGCTCCTACCACCTGCTCCCTTACCCACCCCACCACAAAGGCCTTGGTGCTGCCCCAGAAGCATGCCAGCCATTCCCCATCCCAGGGTTTCTGTATTCTGCTGGGACAGCTGTCCCCAAATGACATGTCAACTCTCTCTCCTTCAAGGTTTTGCTCATACATCACCTACTTGATGAGATCCTACCCTAAGCACTTGATTAAAATTGCAACCTACTTTGCAATGCCTTAAAAAATGAGGTATTGGTGGATAGATATGTGATAAAGTACAGTAAAATGTTAGTGACAGCGTCTAGGTGATGGACATACGGGTGTTCACTATAAAATCCTTTCAACTTTAGGGCACCTGGATGGCTCAGTTAAGCATCCAACTCTTGATTTCGGCTCAGGTCATGAGATCTAGCCCTGTGTGTGGCTCTGTGCTGGGCATGGAGCCTGCTAAGATTCTCTTCCTCTCCCTCTGCCCCTCCCCACCCCACTTTAGTGTGCTCTCTCTCTACTCTCAAAAAAAAAAATCCTCTCAATTTTGTTTTTTGACAATTTTCATAATATAATGTTGGGGGAAAATTGCAGTCAGTTCCCTTGGTATTCCTGATCTCCCTTATTATGCTCTTTTTCTCATTAGTATTTATCACTTTTTTTTTTAAGATTTACTCATTTGACCCACAGAGAGAGAGCACAAGCAGGGGGAGTGGCAGGGAGGCAGAGAGAGAGGGAGAAACAGGCTCCCCACTGAGCAGGGAACCTGATGCGGGGCTTGATCCCAGGACCCTGGGATCATGACCCAAGCCAAAGGCAGATGCTTAACCCACTGAGCCACCCAGGCGCCCCAGTATTTATCACCTTCTTTAAAAACAGCTTTTAAGTGTACAATTCAGTGGCATTACTTACATTTACAACTTTCTAACACACTATATACTATATATATTTTTAATAAAAATACATTTAATAAATTTAATAAAAATAATCTATACTCCAGACTAAGCTCCTTATAGGCAGGAATTTTGGTCTGCTTTGTTTACTAATGTAACCAAATGCCTAGGATAGTATGTTACATACCTGCATTCAATACATATTTGTTAATGAAGAAAGGTACTAGATAATTCTCTCAGGTCTCTTCTAACATTGATGATTTAAAAATTGAACATACTTAGAGGTGCATAAATGGAATATTTATTTGTTTCACATTGGTCATTCGTATTTATAGATCTTAATGCTTTTCATAGATGCTCAAAGTGTCAAGCTAAAAAGAGACATTATTCATCATGAAAAAAGTCACTATTAAGACACAGAACAAAGAAAAAGAAAATACAGACCTAAAATGTCTATTTTTAGACTATATGAGAGGAGTTTCAGGATTTAGGATTATATGCAGTACAACTTTACATAATCATATATAATGTAGGGATCAGTTTTTATAACAAGTTCCGCATGCTCTTGAATGTTCTTGCTCAAAATGTCTGAAACTAGCAACATCAACATCACTTTAGAAGCTTCTTAGAAATAGTGAACCTCAGATGGACTGAAATGAGAATCTGGATTTTAATAAATTCCTAGGAGATTCATGTGCCTATGAAAGTATGAAAAGCACTGCACTACAAAACCACCTTAGTAATTACCCTGTTCTGGTTTCCCAGAATCCTACTTGGTTTTTGCTTACTGTATTTGACATAATACATTTTATATATCCATCTAATGAAAGCATGGTGTATATGAATGATGAATGTTTATTTACCAACATAGAAAGATAACCATCTAAGTTTTTAAAAAGCATTTAAGATTTCATATGGTTCCATTTTTTAAAAAAGGTATAAATATGTGAGTTTATGTAAAAAAAAGTCTAGAAGTCTCTAAATATTAGTATAGTGGGTGGGGGAAGATTACAATTTTTCTTATTTTTTATTTTCTAACTTTGCTAAAATAAGCATGTATTACCAGTATAGTTTTTTTAAAATAAATAAATTTTTAAAAATGGAAAACTAAAAATGGGATAGAGTTGTATCAGGATACATACGGCTCAGCAAGCATCAAAGGCAGTGCATTCTCTTGTATCTTGGATGGACGGTTGAAGCCCATGGCATAGACTCCCTGGAGAAGCTGTGGTTTCCTGGGAAAACAGAGATGAAAGTCACTGTCTCTTTGGTTGAGGAACGAAGCCAAATGTCTGAGGGACTTTTTCCTCTCTTTCTTACTCTTGTTACACACAGTTTACTTACAACGAATAATACTTGAATTGTGCACTTGGCACAATTCACATTACCTGGAAATTTTACTTAACAGCCCAAAGCAGCTAAATTCTTTGATTAAACTTGTATTAGCTAGCAGCAGCTCTTTCTGCCCATGGGTCCTGTGCTCCTGCTTTAATAAAATCACCTTTTTGCATTTAAAAAAAAAAATTAAAAAAATAAACTTGTATTAGCTAAAAATGTTCTGTGATAAAATATACACACACATACACACAAACATAATAGGCCTAGGGTCTCTAACACAAAGGGGAGAGTCAGAAAGTAAACACTCACAGCCGAAGCTCCTCAAAGGACTTCACTGAGTAGAGTGGGGAATTTGGGTCCCGCTGCAGGACTTCCACCTGGTTTGTGTTATCCACAAGGTTGCTTCTGATCAGCTTGTTGAGTAAGGACTGGGCAGCTCTGTCCTCTGTCAGGAAAAAGACAGCAAAGAATTTCATTTTTGTAATTTTTTTTGAGAGCAAAGAATTTTAAAAGGCCATGAAATCCACCATGAGCTCATCTGAATTCACTTGTCATTGGCATTTTAAGCACTAACATGTATTCATGCTAGGACTTCTAATTCAAGACATATCATAATTTTGACTTATAAATAGAATTAAAATTGCTTTATTAAAGATTAAGATTTTGATACTGATATCATGCAGTTGGGCTTCATATTCCTCTCCAAGACTCTATTCCAAACCCTCCTTTCTGGAGGTTATCTACTCTTCCTATGTCAACCCAAGTACTTACTCCCCAGTTTGTGCTCAATGGAAAATTGAAAATTATTAGCTTGGCCCAATGAAAAAAAACCCAGAAATTAAAAAGTTTGTATCTTGATATCATATAAGCTGTATGTTGTTATCCACCTTTAATGTGTCCAAATAGCATTAACTTTAGTAGACAATGGGGATGCAACTTAAAATTTCTTTTATAATGCCCTGTAAAAGATCATCATTCAGGGCATATTTCCTGCAGCTGTTGAAGTCCATCAGTTGCTCAAAGTAAAATTTCTCTAAAATGTAAACATTAAGAATTCCTTCAGCAACAACTATGCTGAGTGTTTATTAGCACTATGACTCCCATTAAAGTCAAGCCAAGTTGGGTATAAAAATGAAGCCTTGTAACAATCTATTCTCTTAAGACTGTAGAACCTCATGGGTATAGCTCTAGGCTGTGTTACCTTTCTCTTCTTCATCTGCCTTCTCTGCATTAGCATTGGTCTTGACAACAGCACCTTTATCAGACACAAAGTGGCCGTCATTCAATATTACATCCCATACCCAACAGCTGAGACAATTCAAATTCTATGAGACACTAGAAATGTAAAGGCCTGGGGAGCAGAAAAATAAATGAGGAAACCAAGCCACAGATAAAAGCATTTTATTGTTCTTAAATAAACAAAGGTATGAAACAGTGTTGCTTATATTTCAGTTCTTCCCTATTCCGAGTCCTCTCATGGTACATCAAACACTAATGGGACTTTCCCTCATAGCATCGGTATTTCTGAATGTTACAGAAGATGATCACAGCAGGCAATGATCACAAACCACCTTGATGCTCAACGGAGGAGTATCTATGCAAACCATATTTCATCAGTATATGAACGCTGTAATGCCATTAAGATTCTATGTATATAAACTGTTGTTTAATAGAAATGTATATTCAAACAACATTGTAGGTATGAAAAAATTACAGAAAAAGATTGTAAATGAATTTGGAATGAGGTAAATGTTACTATCCACCCCCCATAATATTAGGTACATCAACAAAAATTTAATGGAAATCTTGGATTTTGGGTAGACATTTCAGAATGGCAATAGGTTAACTCTCAGGTTGCTCATACTTTGTTGTATGTTCTCATGGTCAGTATATAAGTCAATTAGGCATCCTCATGCTTATTTTAAGCACAATACAAAGCAAAACAATCCAGCTTAGTTCCCAAATCAAATGATTGCCAGTTTCTGCCAGCCCCCTGCTTGGTACATATATAATTTTTTTTTTCCAAATAGTTATTATGTCAAAGCAGAAATACTAAAGGAAATCACATTTGTTTTCAAACTAGCTTTTACTCACCATTGGCATCTGGTTTGATTTTCTCTTCCTTAAGATGCAAGTTGCTCAACTAAATGGAGAATATGGGGGGAGGGGGGAAAGTGTCAGGAAAATCACTTAAAAGATTTTGAATCAACAGAGCCTCCCCAGTGAAGCTGGGGAGAAATGAGCTACTCTCAAGATCTATTCATTAAGTTGTTCTGCTGGGCTCCTTTTGTCGACTAAATGAGTGAGAATAAACAAAATTTCCCATAAACATAGAAGTAGAAAAAGAACTGGTTATATAAATGACTCAAAATCCACACTCCCTAATTACAGTTCCTAGAGAAAATTATAATTTATGAGTTTGCTTAATGCCCTGATTACAAAGACTCTCTCAGTAGAATACCATTTGTCATTCTCTCATATTCCAAACAACAGGAAATTTTAAAAGATATTGGAAAATGCAGTCACACTTCAGACAAGAACATCAAGGTGGGAGGGCTGCAACAAAAAGCATCTGTGAACAGGAATCAGTTATGTTGCATGATAGGTTTGAGCTTCAGGACTGCAATATGCTGATATGCACCCTCATATTCAGGTTGCCTTGTTCTTTGCCTTGTGGTGGAAGTCTAATATTTGAAACTGAACAGTCTGGGGCATTGTGGCACACTGTGTAATCAAAATACCTAACAATCTGAAGTAGGAATACAAAGGAAGGGTCAGAGCAGAGAGACATTTCAGAGAAAGAATTATTAGGACTTTGATCAAACACCGTAAATTAGGCATATCCTGGCAGGACTTATCTCCTCTAGCAGAATGAAAATACCCTTTTATTTGTCAGTTTCACCTCATAAAAGCTGGGGGAGGGTGTAGAAAATACCTTAAAGACAGGAGTATTTTTGTTTAATTGATCTTTGGATCTAGCACAAAGCAGGTGCTCTAATCATAAAATATTAAGTGGGGCTTAGGACATCATCTAGTGAAGGGTAAGAATGAAAATGGCTATTTCTTAAAGCACCACCTACAGTGGTTCTTTATGTTTTGAGGTTCATTCTGCCTTTCCTCTAAGTCCAGGAAAGGGGAAAGGCAAAAGAGGTATGAAACAAACATCTCTTTTAATGGATGGTTAGTTGGGATGGAGGAACCACACTTCTATTGTTGGAAACTGAAAAGGGGGTTTCTGGTGTCTCTGCTTTGGTGTTAGGGGAAGGAGTAGGGGGGAACACACTGGAGAGACTGGCAAGAAAGGAAATGGCAAAAAAGGAAATCATCATAAAGCAGTAAAAATCCTTCATTAATTCCACATGATAGCAAACACACTAACAGACAATGAATATGAAGTGACCAGCGCAGTGCATGATACACAGCAGGTGTTCAGTATATTTGGTCTTCTCTAAAACACTTCTCCACATCCTACCAACAAACCCTGTTTAAAAACGTGTAGTATCCAGGTCTATTAAGAGGGGGAGAGAGAGAGATTGCGCAGCCGGGGGTAGAGAGAGAGAGAGACAAACATACAGACAGACTGCCTGACTTACTGGCAATATTTACAACAGTTAGGTTAATTGTACTCACTCCTAGGGTGATAATTGCTAGCTAAAACAAATGATAGGGCTGAGGTATAAGTGAGTTAGTGAAGTATAAATGAGTTACAAACATCTATTACTGTAAAACATTTTAATACCCAATGATAAAAAGGACAAACCATTCTTTTGTTGATATACTGTTCAAACTGAAGTTAACAGTAAAGTAACAGTTAAAGTAACTAAAATGCAATATGTAGTAAAGGTGGTAGTTAACAATGTAAGTGAAACCAATAGATGTTTTGATTACAACGTATCAGGATTCTGGAGAGGTTCCAGCGGAATCTAAAAACAAACTCGCCCCTCACTTGGCTCTGAGGACCTCCAAGCCTGTAAAGCAGAGACAGTGAAGTCTGTATTACCCAGTGCAATGTCCGTGAACTGAACACTGAAACTTATATTGAAAGTACAGTTTAGAGGGGCGCCTGGGTGGCTCAGTTGGTTAAGCGACTGCCTTCGGCTCAGGTCATGATCCTGGAGTCCTGGGATCGAGTCCCGCATCGGGCTCCCTGCTCGGCGGGGAGTCTGCTTCTCCCTCAGACCCTCCCCCCTCTCCTGCTCTCTCTCTCTCAAATAAATAAATAAATAAAAGCTTAAAAAAAAAAAAAAAAAGAAAGTACAGTTTAGATACCTTCCTTTGCTCTATTTACTTGGACCAAAGAGGAGAAACCAACTTCTCTTGTAACTTCATCAGAAACCATTCTGAAATTAACCAAAAGGCAACAAAGCAAAAAATCCACTTTTTAATAGCCATATTTTCAGTGCCTTTAATATTTTAGTTTTTAAGATATGTTAAAATAATTGAAAACTCTACAGTTACACACTGCATTTTATTCAAAAGCTACGTAAGAAAGGATTCTTGAGACATAAAGGATTTAAAGGTAAGTGAACTATACAGAGTAGGGATTATCTTTGGCAAAATGGTGAAGTAGAGGACATAGAGAAGGGTCATACTCATCAGTTTTCTTATCTGTTTGCCCTCCTCTAAAAAAAAATCTCCCAAAGGAACAGAGGGGAACAAAGAGAGGAGCCACAGGGGGAGGAGAAAATAAATATAAATAGAATCTAGTATTTTCTTATCTAAAATAAATTAGGAATGAAGCTTAATGAATATTTAAAATACAGTAACCTTGCACTATACACATCACTGTCACCTATGTCATGCAGTGTCCTCAGTGAGAGTTCCATAAGGCAGAGGGTAACAGAGGCGTCTTTACACATTTGCTCAGTTTTGGAATATTGTGATCTAATTTACTTGTGCGTGGTTAAGTAGATTCACAAATCTTACCCAGGTTCAACTATCTAATCCATAGAATATGGACAAGTAATTTAAAAGATTCCTGCAGGGACACCTGGGTGGCTCGGTTAAGCATCTGCCTTCAGCTCAGGTCATGATCCCAGAGTCCTGGGATCAAGCCCCACGTTGGGCTCCCTGCTTCTCCCTCTCTCCCCCTCTCTCAAATAAAATATTTTTTAAAACATTAAAAAAAAAGATTCCTGCAAAGGAACTGTGATTTATGCATAATAACAACAATTGCGGGCGCCTGGGCGGCTCAGAAGGTTAAGCGTCTGCCTTCGGCTCAGGTCATGATCTCAGGGTTCTGGGATCGAGCCCCACATCTGACTCCTGGCTCGGTGGGGAGCCTGCTTCTCCTTCTCCCTCTGCCTCTCCCCTGCTCATGCTCTCTCTCTCTATCTCTGCTCAAATGAATAAAATCTTTAAAAACAAAAAAACAATTGCTATTACTTATGTAGCACTTATAACAGGCATGTCCATAACTCAATGAGGTAGTATTATGATTATCTCCATTTGGAAACTGAGGCACAGAAAGATTAAGCGATTTGCCCAAAGTCATATAACTAGTAAACGATGGACCTAGAATACAAATTCTAGACTGGCTATAAAGGCTAAGGTTTTAACCTCTACAGAATGGTGCCTGTCATAGTTAATACTAATCTCATAGAAAATAATCATTTTAAGGATGATACAACGGTGCAGCCACTCTGGAAAAGTCTGACAGTTCCTCAAAAGTTAAACATAGAGTTATTATATAATCCAGAAATGCCACTTCTAGGTGTATACCCAAGAGATTTGAAATGTCCACACAAAAACTTGTACATGAATAATCACAGTAACATTATTCATAATAACCAAAAAGTAGAAACAATCCAAATGCTCATCAATGGACACTGATGAATGGATAAATATATATCTAGACAGTGGACTATTATTTGGCAATAAAAAGTAATGACACCTACTGCAACATGGACAAACTTTGAAAATATTATGCTAAGTGAAAGCAGCCAGACACAACAGACCACATATTGTATGATTCAACTTATATAAAATATCCAGAATAGGCAAATCTAAAGAGACAGAAAACAAATCAGCAGCTGCCGGAGAAGCGTGGGGAGAAGGGAGTGACTGCGAAAGTTTGAGGGAACTTTTGGAGGTGGTGGAAATGTTCTGTATCTTGATTGTGGTGGTGGTTACACAACTGAATGCCTTTGTCAAAATTCACTGAACAAGGGTGAGTTTTACTATATGTAACTTATACCTCAATAAACTTGACTTAAAAATTGGGCCAGTCCAAGAGATCCAACAGTCAACTACTAAGAATTCTTGAAAGAGGGCAAAGAAAAAACAAAGGTGGAGAAATGAACAACAAAATATTTCAAGAAAATTTCTCATAACTTAAGGACAAGAATTTTCCAGATTGAAAGGACCCACCCAGGGGCGCCTGGCTGGTTCAGTGAGAAAAGCATGAACTCTTGACTTTGGGGTTGTGTGTTCGAGCCCCACATTGGGTATAGAGATTACTTAAAAATAAATAAATAAATAAAGGATGATACAACCCACCCAGGGCCAGCAAAATGGATGAAAAAAGACCCATACCAAGATTCATTATCATGAATTTTCTGTATACTGGAAACAAATAGAAGATTCTTCAGGATTACAAAGAGAAAAACAGGTCACATCAGGAATCAGAATGGTCTCAGACATCTCAATAACCAATAAAGAAGTCTAAAAGACAATGAAACAATGCCTTTAAAATTTGGTAGGAAATTAATTTCCAACCTACAGCTCTATACCCAGCTATCCAAATGATAGGGCAAAATAAGGTATTTCCAGAAATGCAACAGTATCATAAAAAACAAAAAAAACTTGTGAGACACCTCTAGAAAACTGATGGGTGGTTTCACCAAATCAATAAAGATGGAGAGAGGGGATATAGAAAGGAGGGGATCCAACACAAGAGAAGAGTGAATCCCCAGAATGAAGGTGAAGGGAAATCTGCCTGTTCCCCTCCAGTCACCAAAATGAGTTCTGCTCTAAGCATAGGGAGAACTAGTCCAATATGAAGCAGGCTAAAAGACCTAGGGGAAATAGAATTAACAGAATACTTTTTTTTTAACTGAAGATTTTATTATTTATTTTAGAGAGAAAGCAAGCGGGGGGGGGAGAGACTGAGGGGGAGAGAAAGAGAATCTTAAGCAGACTACATGCTGAGCGTGGATCCCCATGCGGGGATTGATCTCATCACCCCAAGATCATGACCTAAGCTGAAATCAAGAGTCAGACGTTTAACTGACTGAGCCACCCAGGCGCTCCAAATTAATACTTAATGTGTCTGAACATCCTGAGATAAACTAAACAATTAGCAAAGAGCTTGGGGTTGAGTTGGGATAAGTACCAAAAACATGAAGCAAAAATGCAAGGCAATTATAAATTCCAAGGAAAAACAAAGTTTTATAGGAAAGTAAAAGTATTCATAAGCTACTAATAATGTAAACATGAAATACTGATCTAACTAAAATTATAATATAATGAAAAGGTAGGGAGTGGGAAGGTGTGCATCTGTGGTGGAAAAAGGATGGAGGAAAGAATCAAAATCAGAAAAAAAAAATCAAAATCAGTAAATACCTAAAACTGAAAATTCAAAAACTATCAAAACAAACATGCTATTTAGAGAACAAGGAGGTCAATGATGTAAATTAGCTTCAAAAGATCTATTAGTTGTCTCTGAGGAGGAAAAAATTGGTGGTGGTGGAACCAGTTTTTTTTTTTTTTAATTTTTTATTTATTTGCGAGAGAGAGAATGAGAGACAGCATGAGAGGGAGGAGGGTCAGAGGGAGAAGCAGACTCCCCGCTGAGCAGGGAGCCCGATGAGGGACTCCATCCCGGGACTCCAGGATCATGACCCGAGCCGAAGGCAGTCGCTTAACCAACTGAGCCACCCAGGCGCCCAGTGGAACCAGTTTTTAAAACTATTTGACTCCGGGCGCCTGGGTGGCTCAGTCGTTAAACATCTGCCTTCAGCTCAGGTCATGATCCCAGGGCCCTGGGATGGAGTCCCGCATCGGGCTCCCTGCTCAGTGGGGAGCCTATTTCTTCCTCTCCCACTCCCCCTGCTTGTATTCCCTCTCTCGCTGTCTGTTTGTGTCAAATAAATAAAATATTTTTAAAAACTATTTGATTCTTTGAATTATGTGCATATATTATCAGTTATATAAAAAAAAAAGACAAAGTCCTTGTTCTCAAGAAATTCACAGAAATAAGTACTAACAGAAGTAGGTTCAAAGCACTATCAGAACTTAAGAGTGTTTAGGTGGAGGAATTAATTCTACATAGTCACGTTTAAGTCATATCTTGGTTAATGTGTGTGAGGCCCAGAATAAAGTTAAGGTGATCAGAAGAGGATTTACTTACTGACTACCAGGCCTACAGAGTCGATCATTCATCATCATTAAGCGAGCAAGGAAGTACACAAAGACGAGTAAGCCACGGTCCCACAGCCCAGGAAGCTCAGAATCCAGAGGTGGAGAATGACACAAAGGTGATTATAATCCAAGTGGGGAGAGTGCAACAATCTACAATCAGTCTCGATTCCCGGAAGACAGGCGGCTGGGCTCTTCATCCATGGGAGCACTCGCCTGCTCTTATGTAACCCAGGAGGCGGATGGATAAACAAAGCCAGTTCAGGGTCCAGGCTCCATCCTCACACGCACTCCATACCCGTCCTGACCAAAGTAGTGAGTGTCCTATCCAGGAGTGATCCCCGGCCAAAACTGACCCCCTGACCCTTTTACGGCTGAAGCCAACTCACCGACTCGGCCGCCGCCTCCTGTTCGTCCACCGCCAGAGCCCACGAGTCGGTGGCCATGGTCCCAGGCGCCGGTGAGACGCTGGTGCTGGCAGACTCCCGGGCTGGGGCGGCGCGATCGTGGGCTCCCTGGGGTCGCAGCAAACCCAGCTCCAGCCCCACCGAGGGAGAAGTCATTCGCTCAGGAGCTGGGGACCGGAAGCGGCGCGCCGTAGTGACGTCAGATCTGCGCCCGCCCAGTCGCCCCTCGCCCACTTCGAGCTGTAGTTTCCATCGCTTTTAGACCCACAACCCTGACCCCTGCTTAGCTCAGCCTTTCTTCTCTAACGTCCAGAAACTCTGACTGCCAACTGGCTCTCCAACCCACGAGCAAAACCACTTTCCCACCCAGCACGGCGGCATAGAAGCTCATATAGATTGAATATATCAAAACACAGAACCATTACAGATACGGTAGTCACCAAAATGCGTATTGAAACAATATCTTAAGGTTGGTCATTTTCAGTGTCCAGGGGTTGGCAGTCAGCCATGTCAAACACCATTTGGTTAAAAATTTATCCCGCAAACTATGTGGCAACACCACTTACAGGAATGTCACCTTCAAAAATACTCAAGGAAGGTGCTAGGGAAATGTGTTCCAGCTAGAGGATCGGACACAAGAAAAAGCAAGGAGGTTTGTGTCTGAAGGACATTCTTGTGGGGATTGACAAGAGCCAGGGATGAAGAGATTGGTAGGAGATAGAGGCAAAGGGCCATGCAAAGCAGCTTAATGAGCAAATGAGTTCATTCCAGGGAACTCTTCCCCATCTGGCGTGACTTTTGGAGTTAGCTGTGCCTGGGTTGGAATCCCAGCGCTCCCATGTAAAAGTTGCGTGATTGGGAGAATTTTTTAAAAGGAAAAAAAAATCTTGGGCTTTAAAAGAGGTAAAATAAGGATTAAGTGTGACACTCCCTTTCCCTTAACTGGAAACAAACAAGGTTCTCTCCCCTTGTTACTTCACTATAAAGAAGCTGGGCATTTTCCTGCAAGCTGAGAAAATGAATCCCCACTTACCTCTCTTTGCCATTATTCTACTTCAGTAAATTAATTTCAAGCAGTAGTGGGCTCTATGTGGGATTTTACCTGTAGAGTATGAGTAAGAATGTTCAGGAAAGGGTAAAACACTTCCAGGCAATACTCTATTTGCCATGATTCTTTTTCTCCTGTACCCGTGAGGGGGTTCATTTGGTGAAGATTTTTTGGAACCTACAGGGGAGGATGTTCACAAAGAAAAAGGCAAACACACAGCCAGAGAAGCCATGACCTACATCTCATCATATCAGAAGCAATCCTAGGAATATTTTGCCAGCAAAATTATATTTATCACAGGGCTAATGGAGGTTATGGATTTTTTTTTTAAGTTTAATGAGGTTAAAAAAGAAATCACCCAAGGTGCAGGACTGTATATAATAGGATCCACTTGTGAAAAAGAAAACCCTCATGTGCTTGTAGATACTATAGAAAATGTATGAGATACACGCAAATCTGCTAACAGTAACTGCTTTTAGTGAGGCGCTCTAGAAATCTGGGGAGGGAGAAGACTTCCTTTTCGTTGTGTACACTTCATCCTCTGAAATTTATTTTCCACGGGCATATTTTCCTTTTAAAATTGTATTTCAGACAAACAAGAAAGGGGATAATATAATAAACATCTAGGTTCCCATGTTAGGGCTTAAGAAAGAAAACAATTAAGATTTGATTGAAGCCCCCAAGAGACAGCAGCTCTCCTGAATTATGGTGCTTATCCTTCCCATAAATGCTTTTTACCATGTGTTGCTTTCCCTATTTAAAAAAGAAAAAAGGGGTGCCTGGGTGGCTCAGTTGCTAAGCGTCTGCCTTTGGCTAAGGTCATGATCCCAGGGTCCTGGGATCAAGCCCCACATCAGGCTCCCTGCTCTCTGGGAGGCCTGCTTCTCCCTCTCCCACTCCCCCTCTTTGTGTTCCC